TAGAAAGGTCTTTTCTTGTACAGTTGAATTTTAAGTTGTAATTGAAGAAATAGCTCTGTTGCAAAAGTAGGAGCTGTGTTCTGCATAGTTGGCATAGTGCATGCATGCAGCATGAGAAGGAAGAAGGGATTAAACTGATGAAATCTTTCAGGCATCCTGAGCAGCACCAGTAAGACCAAGCCTGTGGCCTCTGTGAGCGGGCAGTCATCAGGATGCTGTATAACACCAACTGGGTACCGACCGCACCGCGTGGTAACAAACGGTGTGCAGCCTCTCAATCTCAGCCAGGTAAGCACTGTGTGACCTTTGCTGGCCATCATCTGTCCTGCTGGGACCTGGGTGTTAGTGGAGAGGCTCTGGCTGAACCTCTCGTTGCTCCCCGAGGTTTCTTGTTGACTTTTTTTCCTTCTTCTCCCTGCAGAACCAGCAAACGACAGTGCTGGCCTCACAGGAGAGAAGCGGAAATGCAGTCCCACGTAGGCAGCAAGCTTATGTGGCACCCCTCACATCAACTATTTCTCAGGCTCCCTACACGTTCCAACACAGCAGCCCAGTGCATCCCCACCTGGCGGCGGCGACTGCGAACGCGCACCTGTCCAGCCAGCCACATATGTACACTTATGCTCCAACTACTGCTGCAACGCTGGGCTCCACCACCTCCATCGCCCATCTCTTCTCCCCTCAGGGCTCCTCACGGCACACCCAGTACGCTGCCCACCCCAGCACACTCGTCCACCAGGTCCCTGTGAGTGTTGGTCCGAGTCTGCTGACTTCTGCAAATGTTCCACCTGCCCAGTACCAACACCAGTTTGCTCCCCAGTCCTATATTGGTGCTTCCAGAGGATCTGCTATTTACACTGGATATCCGCTGAGCCCTACAAAGATCAACCAGTACTCATACTTATAGTTCTTGGTAGAGCAATTCCTGTCCTGCAACAGGCTGGAGCGATTGGAGAAAGATTTCAGGTGAATCTTTACCTGGTAATGACTGCCTGGTTTTTGTTTCTCCCTTCTCTGGTTGTATGTTGTTCAGAAATGTCTCTGGTGAGTTCAGTCACTAACCGAGCAGCATGCTTTGTTACCAGTGCAAGGGTCACTAATTAAGTTTTTAAAATTTCCCTTACTTTTTATAGATGCTTTTAAAAATTCATGGTCACTTTTATTTAAAATCGTTCTGTTGTGCTAATGGAAAGAGGAGGGAAGATCAGCATCTCGGAAGCAGATCCTGATGATTTTTTTAACTTGTATTATTTAAGCAAGAAGATCAGCAGATAATTTTTCAGCAGCTTGCACAGATCCATATTGCCACTAAAAATGTAATGCACATTTATCTCTTGGTCTTGCCAGGGCAGTTCTAACATCCAGCTGAGTGTTTTAACTTTTGTTGCCCATTTCACTTTAACAACTTGCTGGTTTTGAGGAGCCATTGCATCTCTCTGCGTTTCTGTCCAAGGTTTTGTTTACATCTCTGCTTTGTTGGAGATGCTGGGAGGGGCAGCTGCCTTGTCCCACGCCGTGTATTCAGGAACCAACAAGAACTCAACCAGAGCCCTGGAATCTCTTTTGTTTTCCTGCAAATCCTTTGTTTCCGTAACACAGCTGAATTATTATCGCATTCACTGGGGAATCCCTTGAGGCTTTTCAAACAGATTTTGAGGTCGTGCTGTGCAACACAGCTCAGCACCTGGACGAGGATGCCGTAACGTTCAGTTGGGAATGAATTGTGCCACACTGCTCTCCCATCTGCATTCTGCAGCGTTCGGTGCTGGCCCCAAAACAGGGCTGGATGCCTCCACAGAAGCGCAGGGCTTTTTGGTTCTGGTTTTTTTTTGGGTTTTGTTTTTTTCCTTCATATTTTTCTTTCCGTGATTCGTTTGTGAGGGAGTCGAACAGTTTGAAATACAACGAAACATCACTGTATTGGTGTGTACAGCTTTTTATACTCCTGTGACCATATCCTCCTGGATATGCCAACAGCTTCCTTAAAGCGCTCTTATGAAGACTTGTATGCAGTACGTGCATGGAGGAATTGCAAAAACAAGAAGAGAAAAAAAAAAAAGAGGAAAAAAAAAGAAGAAAAAAAAAATATCCAGATTTTAAAGTTTATTACTGAATTTAAAACTATTTTAGAAGTTTTGTATTGGTGGTGTTTTAATATTTTACAGAAAAATGAAATATGTACATATTGATTAGAAAAATATAACAAGCAAAACTTCCTGCTAACCCCAAACGTTCTGTCTTTGTAATCAAGATGTGTAGTGATGATACTTGAACTCTGTACTTAGTGTTTGTCTGATTCTTAAAACGTCCCTGGGGATGGAGTTTGATGTATCCTTTGTATTTAAACCAAAATGAATGGATTCGTGTCGGAATGTATGTGATATAATGCAATGGTTAGAGCTCATCACTGTAGCACTGAGAGAGGAGTAGAGCTTCACGAGAGACAAGGATACTTTCTGATTTGTTTTGCACAGGTATGTGTGATGAAGAGTTGTTTGGTGTGTCCCCTTATTGTAGTGCCTTAAATGATGATGTAGTGTGAATAGAGTTTACAGTGAGCTTGCCTTATGAGGGACCAGCAAGCCCCCGTCGAATTGAAGCAATTCACTACGCTTCCCACAGCAAGAACAGCAGTCTGTCACATAGGTGCATTGTTCTCAGTTTTATGCTGTCATAAAGAGCAACGTTTTTGTTGGAGCGAAGCGATGTCCCCTTGCAGCTGTTCCTGGAAGTGGCACATGTCCTGTTAGCTGTCTGTCAGTGCATTTCGAATAGGGTCGTGCTGGGAATGCATTGGAATGTTTAGTCTCATATTGCAGAAGTGATTAAATACGTGCAATCACTTTTTATTAGAGTAGTATGGCGTTACCTTCCCCCACGTTAATAGTAGACATTTCCTGTAAAATATTGCTAGCTTGGTGATAGGATATTTATACCAAAGAGAGCCTGCTGTAAAGCACATAATACCATTAAGAAGTTTTCTAATGCTGCTGCTAATGTGGAGTTGTTGGGAAGGTGTCAGCTGTATGCTAGTCAGTGTGCAGAGGAAATGCAACCATGCTTTGTTTCCTTGGGTCCCTCGTGCCAGGAATTACTGCTCATCTCCAGTACACAGACCAGGACTGGCCGGCTGGCAGCCAGGCTGGCTCGGGCAGCAGAGTTACGCAGCAATAAGAGGTTTTGGTAACCTTGAATCCCAGTTCTGGCCCGTCCCAGTGGCAGATGGTCCGGTTCTCTGACGTGAGGAGTGCGAAATGAGCTTCTGAGATTCCATACGTTTGATGGAAGGAAGGCTGGGCTGAGCTGACGCCGAGGTTTGGGGCCTCTTTCAGCAGAGGGCTGAAGGACTTCGGAGCTGGACGGTAGCATTAGCGACGTTGTTGTTTGGTGTGTTTGTGGTCAGAGCACTTCTGTAGCTGTGAGGATGCCCAACGGATTGTGCTGTTTTACATCCTGGGTGTAAACAATGCTCTTTGCTGTAAGCACTTTCTTGTTTCCGTGTTACGTTGCTTGTTTGCAGTACTTCCCTTCAGATACCTCCTGGGTACGGAGTTGTGCCTTTCCATCAAAGGCAAAACAAGTTCCAGTTCCTGCGTTTCGGAAAACCGTATGTCTTGTACATAAATAGGAAATGTTATGTATGAGGTCCAAATTGGAGGAAAAAAAACCAAAACACCAGCAGCAAAATGTGCTGGGAATTTGGGTGAGACCCTTCCAGTCCCCCCAAGAAGTAGATGAAAATGACCATTAAAAGGAATCTATTCACAGAGCACGGTAACATCTCTTTCACTGTTTCCAAAAGCATTGGAACAAAGAGGATGAGATGGGAATGACATTGCAGGGATGGAACCTGCTCTGTTACGACAGCTCTGTTTCCCTGAGGCTCCTCTTGTGGCAGACACAGCGTGAGGCAGACAGAGCTGCCCATGCAGGAGCAGCTTTCCGGCCCGGTGTGCTGCTCTGAGCCCAGAAGGAGCTGCATCCCTCCTGCCCATGCATTGCCAGCCTTCCCATCAGTTTCAATAACCAGCTGTCCTCATTTCAGAGCTGCTACACAGATTTCACAAACCAATGCTCTCTGGGTTGAAATTGGAGTCCTGAATTTCTTTTAAACCCGCTTTGGGATTCGCCGTTTGAATATCGGATAACTCACCTCTGTGATCCTGAGCTGAAGTCAGGGTTGTTCCTGTGGGCGATCTGCACTCACAGCTGTGAGCCACAGCAGAGGCAACTCCTGAGCCTCCCTGCTTAGCACCTAATTGATGGGATGCAGTAATTAACCTCTGACTCAGCGATTTCTTTTACTACATTAACCTAAATTGCTTCTAAATGACAGGATTGGCACAGCCCTGCTTTCTTTTATTTAAAGTTCTGAATGATGCCGCATGTCCACATGGTTGTTTGTTGCTGAACTTTATATAAATGTGTGATTTCAGATTCAGCTTGGAATATATCTATCTCACTACATGTAGCAGTACATTATATGTAACGTTAGTATTTCTGCTTGGATCCTTGATATTGCAATGGAATTCCTACTTTACTAAATGTATTTGATATGCTAGTTACTGTGTACAATTTACCTTTCTTTTCTGGTTGTGCTCTTCCTTTTTACAAGCCGGTAGGTGCAGGTAGTTCCTGACATTACTGATCTATGTTTGTATTGCTGATGTACTTAGGGGGTATGTAAAAATCATTTTAACAAAAGAAATAGCTATTTAAAAATTTAATACTAACTATATGGGAGAAGGGTCCATTGTGAAAACATAGTTTATCTTTGGATTCAATGTTTGTCTTTGGTTTTACAAAGTAGCTTGTATTTTAAGTATTTTCTACATAATATGGTAAAGATGTAGAACAATTGCAATGCATCAATAAAAAGGGTTAATTTTCTGTACTCGATCCCTGGGGTCTCTCGGTCTCTCGGAGGGTCGGGGCTGCGGAGCCGCCGGAGTTAAAGCGGAGCTGAGGCGCCCGGGGCCGCCTCTCGCCGCATCTGGATTCAATCAGGGCCGCCAGCATTCCTGAGCGCTGAGCCGCTTCCGCGCTGCCGCACTCTGCGGCGGCCATGGGGCCCTGGCGCTGCCTGCTCCTCCTGCCGCTCCTCGCCGCGGCACCGCGCGCACAGCAGCAGCAGTTCATGGAGTACGTGGAGCGGCGGCTGGTGATGCTGGAGGTACGGGCGGGGGGAGCGGGGCGGTGCGGGCCGGGGATGCGGGCGCGGGGCGCGCGGCTCGGAACCCACCGTCACCCCTCGGCCGCAACAGGAGAGGATCGCGCAGTGGCACGATCAGAGCAGCCGTTACTCCACGGAGCTGCGGGACTTCAAGAACCAGGTGCTGGGCATGCTGGAGACGGCGGAGAAGGAGCGCGAGGCTCTGCGAACCGAGGCGGAGAGCGCGGCGGCGCGGGTGGACCGCCTGGAGCGAGAGGTGGATTACCTGGAAACGCAGAACCCCGCACCGCCCTGCGTGGAGGTGGACGAAGTGCTGACGGAGAAGCAGGCGGCCACGGCCAAGCAGAGGAAGAACGAGAAGTACAGCAAAGTGACGGGTGAGGGCCGCCGGGCTGCCCCGGGTGGTGGCGCGGGGTTAGCGGGCTGCCCGGAGCTTGGGCTCCGCAGCTGCATCCCGGGCAGAGCCGCGGCTGGGGGGCGGGGAGGGGGGTCCCCCCATAGGGGCTTCTGTGTGCCGCTGGGACGGCAGCGATGCTGACCGAGGGCAACGCGGTGCTTCTCCAGGGAGCTGCCTGGAGCGCCCCTGGGGTGCGAGTGCCGCAGCACTGAGGTGACACGGGGGGTGGGAGCGGCCCTCGGGCTCTGACCGCTGCCCCCCTCCACCCCCCTCGCAGATTGCAGTGACACCATTGCAAGCGTCAGAGCCATGAAGATCCTGAAGCGCTTCGGCAGCGCCGTGGGGCTCTGGACCAAGGATGCTGCAGGGAACTCCGAGAAGATTTACGTCTTCGATGGCACCGCCAACGACACGGTGTACGTCTTCCCCCGCATGCGGGAGTTCACGCTCTTCTCGGCCACGCGCCGTGCAGCCCGCATCAAGCTGCCCTACCCCTGGGTGGGCACCGGGCACCTGGTCTACGGCGGGTACCTCTACTACATCCGCCAGCAGGGCCCCTTCCAGGTGATCAAGTTCGACCTGGTCAACAAGACGGTGGTGGACAGCTCGGTGTTCCCAGCCGAGGAGCAGATCCCCGTCTTCGGCCTCTCCCCTTTCACCTACATCGAGCTGGCGGCGGATGAAGAGGGGCTCTGGGCCATCTACGCCACCAAGGAGAACGAGAAGAACATCTGCCTGGCCAAGCTGGACCCCGACTCGCTGGACATCGAGCAGATGTGGGACACGCCGTGCCCGCGGGAGAACGCCGAGGGCGCCTTCGTGGTGTGCGGGGCTCTGCACGTGGCCTACAACACCCGGCTGCCCAGCCGCTCCCGCGTGCAGTGCGTCTTCGACGTCAGTGGGACGCTGCCCCCCGAGGAGGCTTCCCTCGTGTACTTCCCCAAACGCTACGGCTCCCATTCCAGCATGAAGTACAGCCCCCGCGAGAGGCAGATCTACGCCTGGGACGACGGCTACCAGATCATCTACCGCATGGAGATGAAAAAGAAGCTGGAGGTCTGAAGGGCCCCTGCAAAAGCCTGGACTGATGAAATGAGGTTTTCTACTCTGTGATGCAATGAATAAATGCTATGCAGCACGCTGCAGCCGCCTGCTTGGGGGGAGTGTGGGGCGCTGGGGGCTGCAGCAGTGAGCTCTACGCTGCCATGAGCTGCCTCAAAATGTCTTTCCTAGAGGTTTCCTGAAGCTGTGAGTGCACAGTCTGGGCAGTGGGCTGGGCAGGGCTCTGGGCAGAGGTTGGGCTGGAGTTCAGCAGCTTCTGCTGCAGTGAGAGCACCTCTGGGCCTGGCTGGGGCATGGCATGAACAAAGCTGCAAGCAAACTGCACAATCCCTTAATCCAAAAGGACAACTGGAGGTTTTGCTCACATGCTGGCGAGTCCTCCAGCCAGCAGGCACCAGATGTTCCTCATTTTCTCAGTTCACGTCTAACAAAGCACGGTTGTCTTTCCTTTGCAGCCACAGTGGTGGCAGACCCTTTCTGCAAGGCTCCATTCCCTTAGTTCCCATTCCACATGGCAGTGCCTGAGTGTGGGGGCAGCTGGGGGCCACAGCCAACATGCACTGGGGGGGAACTGTCCCAGAAGGGCCCTGAGCATGAGGATGTGGCCTCAGCAGCCCCAGCTGGAAGCAGAAAAATAGATTCTCACACACTGCCACATGCACCTCTCCCTTGGGGGATGGAGGGTTGGGCGGGAGATGGCACCGATGCTCCACAACCACACCACAGTTCATTCTTGTCACAGTTCCTCCAGATGCCTGAGGATGCAGAAGTTGAATTTAGGATATCTGTGTGTCACGGAGCGTGCTTTGTCCGCAACAGAAATCAGCTCTGGAGACAAATGCTTGTGTGAAGCCTGAGCTGCTCTGGCCATTGAGGGTCGCCCCTGCTGTGGGGCTGCAGCTGGGGGTGGGTCTGGCCCTGAGGTTCCCCTGCAGCCTGTGGGATGCTGAGCTGCCACTCAGGGCTGACCTGATAGCTACCCGGAGCTCTTCTGTATGCTAATTAAATATCTTCTGCTTCCTTCAGAAAAATGCTTAAATACACACTTTGAATGAGTGTAATTGGATGGTGCAGAAAGTTCAACACAGTGTAAGTCAAGCGGAGAAATTATCCAAGGGTGAAGAGCTATGTGCACTGTCAAGTTAATTTATAGCCCTTTTCACAATCAGTAACTGCAGTAACAAATGCAATTTTCAGCAGTTGTACAGTTGTAAATAATGACGGAGCATGGTGGGGTGGTGCTGATGGGCTGACAGGGTGATCCTGGAGGTCTTCTCCAACCTTATTGATTCTGTGGTTCCATCCTAATGATTTTTTTAGCATGAATTAGAGCCGATGGAACGCCAGAAATCACCTTATAACCTGGAACAGTGGTCCTGCAATGCCCGTCTGGGAGGATGCTTTGGTGGCCATGGCTGCCGGGTTGTGCTGCAGCCACAAACTCCACACTGCAGCGCTCAGCTGGGCTCACCCAGTGCATGTGTGCTGAGATGATGTGTGCTGCGGTGCCTGAATTACAAAACGCAGCACTTACCTGGCGCTCCACGTCTCCAGAGTGCTGCAAGGAGCATCAACAAACGAATCCAGCACTGCTCAGACAGAAATCACACCCAATCCCTATGAGGGTCCCCAGCTCTGCGAGGGCAGTGGCATTACCCTGCTGTGGTGGGGGGGGATGGGAGATTCATTGCTGTGCCCTCACATCCCTGCTCTCCTCGACTCTGCAGCTCCTCGTGCCTTAATTGCCAAATATTTTATCTCTTTAAAGAAGCCTCTGTGTAAGTAATAATCCTTTCATCTCTCTTCTCTCAAAAACTATTTCCCTTTGGAAGGCGATCTGATAAAGTAAATTGAGAAGTTAAAGTGAGGACGGAGAAAGCAAGATCTCCCGTGGCTAATTCTTTTCTCTGTCTCATTCTTGAGCCTTTTCTGTCTCATCCTCAGCCTTTTTTTCTTGCTCTTTTCCAGCTCATGAGAGCTCTTGGAGTGAAATGATTCTGCAATAGGAAACTAAAATTAAAAGTGGGCAACTCAGAGGAGCGAGTTACAAAGATGCCATTGTACTGCAGCAGGAAGGGGAACAATCTCTCCATCTGACGCCCTCCTAATGGCTGCCTGGCATATGTAACCACAGCTCTCAGATCCCAGAGGTGTTTCTGCTCATGCAACATCTGCCAGAGGCTGATCCACACATGGGAGGGATGCTGCAGCCGGGGGGGTCCGTGGGGATGTGGGAGGGAAAGGAAGTGGCAGCAGCTGCTTGTCGTGATGTGCAATAAGCAAAACAGGGCTGAAAATCAAATCTTTGGATTCAGAGGTCGCAGCCCGAGGAGCTGCGTTTGCAGTGCATCTTTTCAGTCTTTCCTAGACAGTTTCAGGCTCTAACAAAGCTTGCTGTCGTTTCGGTACTTTGATCAGCCCACATATGTCGCTCCTGGCCATGCTGTCAGATTTGGGGCTACGCCAGGAAGGCCCATAGGCAGTGGCCTGTCCCGAGGGCTTTGTGCATCCTCAGCTGTGTTTAATGGCATTGTCAGCTCTGTTCTGCTGCTGGGACCTCTCACCTCCAGCCAAGGAAACCAAATGGGTCACAGTGCTCAGGTCTGGCCCAGTCTGAATGCAGCGCAATGCGGCCGTCCCAGCTCTTATCCTATGCAGGGCACTGCTTGGGCACCGAGGGGAAGGGCCTGTCAGGTTTTAGCTCCCAGAGACACCCTATAGCCAAATGAGCCCCTAACCACACTAAGTCCCTGGCTGTGCTGTGCCCATGGGGCCATTTTTGCTCACACACCCTATGGGGACATGGCAGCTCATGGCCTGCTGCTGCCAAACGGTTTGCTCTGGGGACCACCTTGGTTTGTGCTCAGCTCGCACCCAATTCCACATCTCAGAAAGCAGCTCTGAGTTTTAATTTCTCGTGGGTTTATGGCAGAAAATAGTGACAACGGGCCCTGCAGTGCCAGGTGGGCTCCGAGACCCCCACTCCCCAGCTGAGCTCCCACTGAGATCTCTGCAGTTATTGCTGATGCTGTAGTTGCCCTCATCTTGGCTTTGGGGCAGACTGTTTCCATGGCAACAGAATATGCTGTAGGATTTGCATTGAGCCATTCATGCCACCGTGCTTTATTGGCTTTAATGAACTGCCATCCTCACAGCAGCTGACACGGGGTCTTTGAAACGGATGTGCTCTAAATTCCCTACTTTTAATTGCAGCTGTGTGAGAGCATCGCATGCACAATTGTGTTTGCGTGGCTGTATTAAAAACATATAAAATAGGTAAAAGAAGCTAAAAGCAAAGCATTTCTTGAACATGTAATGGCATTGCCACTGGCTGCAGCAGTGCTGGTGATCAAGCAAAGCCATTGGGGACATCCCTGGCCCAAGGACCTGTGCATCCACAGAGAACCAAAGCCTGTTCTCCCAGGCTCACCTGCAGCACTGGTCTCTGCATTATCTTCTGAAAAATGAAGGATTTATCTCTTTTTTTTTTTTCTTCTTCACCCCCCTGTAGAGACACGAAGAAGGTAAACACCATCACAAAAGGAAAAGCTGTGACCCTGTGCCCTGGGTCCTGGGTCCCTGCTAGCCCTACAGGACGTTCCCCCCGTGTGCCCCAGCTGTGCAAGCAGAGATCAGAGGCTGAAGGCGCTGTGTTTGCATCTGGGAATGATGACTTCATAGTAACAACAGAGCTGCTGACCCCCAGAGGTCATTCTGTACTGATGTGTGCAGCCCTAACGCCAGAAGAAATGATCAATGTCTCATTGAGAAACCCCCTGGCAAAATGAGAAGCCCAGGGCTGAGATGAGAGAGATGAGTAAGATGGCAAACAACAAAAAGTAGAAAAAAGGAAGAAAGGAAAGAGAAGTGAAGTGAGCCATGCTTCTCTCAAACAAGCTGTAGTCACTGATGGGCTGTGCAGAGCTCCTCCGCCCCATGTCTGTACCCTTGCCATGAGCAGTCCAGCACTGTGTCACCCCGTGCCCCCACCATTAAAGCAGCAATCATTACATGCCAGGCCTTGCTGCGGTGCCTCTCAGTTTTCCCGCAAGCCTGTCATTGTTCTGCAAAGCTGGAGACCACGAGACAGAAACCAAATAAAAAGAGAGCATTTAAGGAACATGTGGGAGTGCTATTTTGTGTTTACTTTGTTTGTGTTACTCAAAATACAGCTTTCCCTTGCGGCTGCTTGCAGACGTTGCAGTGACCAATGCTGCCATGCGTGTGCTGCCATCCCCAGCCCACGCTCCATCACCTGTGTGTGGTCACCCCTCCCGCCATGGAGGTGCTCCTCCACACCCATCAACTCTGCAGTGGGTTATTATCATATAATTAAGAGAAGCTCTGAAAAAGAGAAGGAGCAATAAAGGCAGCTTTAATTCTGGGGTGTCGCTTGTGCCAGCTTCAGCTGTCCTCGGAGTTCTAATCCTGTAGATCAAAGGGAAATATCTGCACTTGCACAGCGTGTCTACTTTCCATTGGTGTGACCAATCTTCTTGAGGCGGTGACGCGCACACAATGCTTTGATTATCCCCTCCCCGGGGACAAGGCCAAATCTCAGCACTGAAAAGCAAAATGCAGGGCTTTGAGCCACCGAAGCGCGGGCGTTTTCGCTGGCGTGACATCCTGCTTTCCAGTGACAGTCAGCACTGAGCAGAAATTGATTATCTGTGCGAAGCAGTGATTAAAAATAGAAGCCGTGTGTCAAACCCCACGCATGTTTTGACTAAATCCAAGATAACGAGAGGAATGGATGAAAGACGGAGATTATACAGAGAGCACCGAAAACTAAGAGGCTGGGATTAAAGAAGAAAAAATATGCGTGGGTTAATGCAGTTAATGAGTGCTGAGTGCCATCCTGGTGCCCAGCTGGGATCGCAGCACTCAGGGCTCAGCTGCCACTCTGCATTCGCAGTACGGTGGCTTTGGTCTGCAGACCTGCATGAGGTCACCTCTCCTCGGTGATGCTGAGCATCTGGAGGCTTCATCCAGTGCAGACCAAAGCTCAGGGCCAGCAGTCAGCCTTCAGACCGCCTCTGTGGCCAGTAGTTTTGGATGGTTAAGACCTGTGCATCTTCGTGCTGTCCCTTGGTAGAAGTCCTCAGTATTCACTGCTAGAAAACGACTGCAGTTTTACCACTTTTCGTTTAAATGGGCTCAAAGCAGTCAAAATTGTGAGGGTTGGTTTTTCTCCCATCATTATTGCTTATCAAAGCGTGTGCACAGATCATCTCAGTTCAATGGAGAACTGTGGCACTTAGAGAGGGACCAACCTGGGGTCTGTTATCACCCCTTCATTACCATCAGCTGTGATCACTGCAGCCAGATGAAACCTTTTTGCTGCCTTCATGAGACCAGTCAGGAGTTACAAATGAAACAATTTTATTGAGTTTCGGCTTCTATAGCATGTAGCAGATGAAGAAGAGAATTAAGACACGAGGTGTGATGAGAAAGTACACATTTGTCCATCACTTGAACAAAGGATTTGTGTTACCCAGAAAAACGGTGCAAATAAGCATCCTCTGTGCTCACAGCAGTGATGCTCAGCCAAGGCTGATGCTGTGACATTTAGGAAAATGCAAACTGAAGCTGACTTGATGGATGCAGCTACCGCTAACCTGGCATGAGGGGAAACGCTGCCTTTCTAGCAAATTTTGCTTCAACTCGAAAGCAAAATATTTTAACTGGCTTGATTGAATTACGGCAGAACAAACAGCACTAATGCATTTAGCAACTGAGAGAGAAATCCAAGGTGTGAGAGGGTCCAGCTGCAGCTATCTGATAAAGATGAGCTCAACGAGCTGCTCCTGCAGAGCTGTGCTCACTGTTGGCCTCTCCAGCCCTGGGATCAGGAAAGTTTCATCTTTCCAAACTTGACCTTCCTCCAGGGTTTGGGCATCAAAACTCAATTCACTGGGAAGTGCTGATTGTTCAGGAAAAGCATGTGGCAGTTTTCAGCAGCAGCTGTGTTTCTGCATTACCCTTTTGTTCACCTCCTATGAGTGGGACAATGTAGGAAAGAAGGATCTAGTGTTCATGTGAGGATCTCACCTATTTTATATATAACAGCAAAGCACCGTTTCCCCTTCACATCCGAGCTCTGCTCACAACAACAACACAGTTCTCTCCACTCCAGGTAACGTGGTGATGTTCAGAGCAATGAGCAGCAGCTACAAAGGGCATCTTAAGAAAGTGTTCATGCAAATAGCTCTAGGGAGGCTTCAGATACAGAAAAGCAGGTTTTCCCCCTGAGGAATCAACAGCTTTTTGTTTTGTTTGAATATATGACAAAAGGAATTGGAGACACACACTGCACACACTTGTAACGGCTCATGAACACCTCTACACCAACAGGAGACCTGTACACACAGTGCTGAGCTCGGGCTGAGCCATCACAGCACTGAGCTGCTCACAGACCAGGAGAAGCCTTCCCACGTCCCCCCAGCTCTGACCCAAGCAGACCCAGCCTGCAGCACAGCAGGGCCAGGCGGCTGCTTCCCGGCCACGTGTGCTGTCTGTAGGAACTCAAAACATCTTTGCACATTTCCAGCCTTCGTACAGATTACAAACTGTTTAAGAGACCAAACTTCCAGCTTACATCTCAGTCTGCTTTCTTCCTCTTAATACGGGTCCGGACGGTAAAGCCACAAAAGGAACACATCACTTTGGGAGACCTATTAGACAAAGACGTGTTGACTACAGAACGGGTTTCTGCCTTTACTTACACAGGAACAACGAGGCTGGGAAGTCTGGCTGCTGCCCCCACCACTCAGCAATGCAAGGCTGAGGCTGCAGGCGCACGGTAACATTGCGGAGTCCCATCTCTGCACATCATGGCGTGGGAGGTGGTTTGGGAGAAGGACAGGAGCTCTGGCTGTCAAAGCTCGCTGCTCGGCCTTGCCACTGTGGGAGGAAAGAGAAGGGAAGCCTAAGCAGATGGGAGAACACTCTGCTTTATTCCTTCCGAGGTGAGTTTGCAGTTACGAGCTCTGCTACCCACTCATCCAAAAGAAAAATAAATAGCGTCTGCTCCATAGACAAAGTTTGTTCTCTGTTTGCCTGGCATCATTTCCTGTTTTGGTGCTGTTGTTTTGGTGTTTTATTTTAAGAAATGCCAAATAATTGCAAAAACCCTTCAATCTCTCTGGTCTGGCAGAAGCTGTGTTTGCTGTGTTTGCCAGAAATGTTTCTCAGAGTGAAAATCGGATCACAGCCAGTGGATGCAGTAAACATTTTCTTTTTTTGCCATAATTATGGGATCATAAATTATTACTCATCTGCCTTGGGGGCCATTATTATAATCCAAAGCCATTACTACTCAAGCTTTTGAGTACTCACCCATCTCGCTATCTTGCTTTATTAAATTCAAATGACAAATGATAGACGTCTTCCAAAGACAACAGGAGGCGTAATAGTTCCACTGCTCCCTTCTCCCCCAGATCAATTCCCTCCTCTCCTACTTAAGCAAAAACTCTTTGCTAAACAATATTAATGTTCCAGCATGTATGAATTTCATTTCTGTGGGTGAAAGCTCATTAGGCACATTGCAGCAAACCAGTTCAAGTGGAGCTAGTCATGGAGAAAAGAAACCACAGCAACGCAGTCTCCTGCCAAGCCCTGAGCACGTGCATCACCGTGCCGTGGAAAGAGCATCCACACTGCTCCAAGGAATGCTGAACCCTCCTCAGCAGCGTGCAAAGCAGAGGTTTTCATAATTATGATAAATCTGGGGAGGTTGCTCCTCTGGCGACATGTGCTTTTTGTAAAGGGCAACGTTTCATGTTACAGACTGTGAGCATGGGTGCAGATGGGGTTCTGCTGCTCGTGAGGCACGGCTCTGCTTGGCCCCAACATCCAGGGGTTCATTGTCCCAAGGAGGGGACAATCAAGAGCAAGACTGCAGCCAGCACAGCTCAGGGAGCCCAACACACACACACACAGATGCATTCCAGCCCAGCCCCAGAAAAATGGGCAGCTCTGCCCTCCCATCAGCACTTCTCAAGAGGAACCACACTGCCATTCCAGGCACATTTCTCACCCTGAGAACTGCCAGTAAAGCAGGGGAGAAGCAGAAATACAATAGAAGTAGGCTTGTAGTAGAGCCCTCAGCATGCTCCTTACACTGCTCTACCTGCATTCACAGTGACAATGCAGCTCCAAGTAGGTGATGGAAACATCAGAAAGTGAGCACTGGGGAACCTGAGGATACTTTTCCTTCATTTAATTAGGAAAAGTGAACCATTCATTCTGTAATTGTCAGTAAGAAGCTAGGAGCAGTTCACTGAAAGTCAAACATGCCCAGGAGCCCGGACTGGGCCAGTTTAGCATATCTTTAAAGATAAATGGTTGTTCTTCATTACGGGCAGGACTTGGCTCTCAGCACACTTGTCCATTTTTTATCTGGAGAAGCACTTTAAACACATAAATGCTCCCACGCTGAATGTCAGAGGTGTTTGGCAACATCAAAGCCCTGCTCTGCACTGCCCTGGTGCTGCCGCTCCATGATATCAGACTGCGTTTGTCTTTCATAAACAACAAAGAGATTTGCAGTTTTCAGATGTCCCCCTTCAAAGTCTGGAAAGATAAACTGTAATTCTCTGTTCCTTTCTGTAAACACATCACTTAACCCAGGAGACTGAGGTACTGCAAGGAGAGCAGTGCCCACTGATGATGGGTGCAGGTTTGTGTGCTGGCAGAGCGAGGGTCCTCTGCTCCCAAATGGCCTCTAGCAGCTGTGTCAGGAGGATACAATTTAGAAGGTAATTAATGATTCGTTTGCTCATGTTCTCTTCTTAATGATGATGGCCATTAAAGAAGCACAGTCGTTAAAGTTTGTTACTCACTGCTGATAAATATGGAACCACCAAAGACAGGAAATGTGACAAAAGAAAGCTTCCCTAAAGACCTCAACGATGGAGAAGAAGCAAAACTGCTCATACTGAAGATCCAGGTGATGCCTGCACCCAGAAGAGAGGTTTTGGGATATGTTAGTACAGCACAGAGGCCAAGGAAGAGGATGGAGCAAACAGAGCAGACCACAAGGATCAACAAAAGAGCAGAGGCTGCTCTCAGAGCTACGAGATGTGGTTTAGTAGCTTGTGGTACTAATAGGAATGGGAGGGTGGTTGGACTAGATGATCTTGCAGGTCGTTTCCAACCTTGTGATTCTGTGCTTCTGTGATTTGCTGGATCCTGGCAGCAAACGCTCAGAGATGAGGATGAGGGCTGCTCTGGATTCCAGCACAGCACAGACACAGGGTGAAGAAGGGAACGAGGGGCAGCAGCTCCTCCTCAGCATCTGTGCTCCAGAGCAGACAGACCCCTGTGTGCCCACAGCACTGACCCCACTGCGGCCATGGGGAGCATCCTGGGAGCCCCCTGTGTGCTGGGGAACCTGGAGGTGCTTGACACAGCACTGAATTTACGTCTCAATGATGCACAGATAGGGAAAACGTGATTAACTGTAAGAAATGGTGTTTCACTAATAATTTCTGTCCAGGATCTTGTGTCTTTTTTTTTATTGTTTGTTTCTTGTTTATTTGCTTATTTCTGTTTTGGTTGGTTTTTAGCTGCAGCAGAACTGCCAACAGCAGAACTAGAGCTGAAAAGGGCAAATAAATATCATTTGCTTGCTGGCTCTGTGCACTGGCTTGTGGCAGAAATACCAGAACAGATGATCAGAGCAGTTTTTTGTGATTTTTTTAAAAAATATTATTTTTTTTTTAGAGTGTTCCTGACCTGACCATGAGGGGTGAAATGACTCAACTTTTTTTTTTTCTTCCTGTTTCTGAAATCTTGGGGCTCAGCAGTGACCTTCGAAGTATATTTTAAATGGTGAGTCACCCTATATGCCTTCCTCTGTTTCTTCAAATTTCGTCATAAAAATTACATCCTTTCCTTCCCATTAATTCTCAAAAACATTTACAGGAGTCTTTCTTTCCTGCTCCAACCTGGAGCTGAAAAACAGCCTTGTGGAGCCGCGTTAATGACAAACTGCAGAAGGATCTCCTGCCCCTGGGTTGGACTTGGCAGCTGGTGTCACATCGAGAGGTACCACTGACCACGTGCAGCTCACTGATCCAACGAGAGCCCACTAAGCACTTCTGCTAAAACACAGCGGTCGCCGATCCCCAGCAGTGTGAGAGAGCATATGCTGCTGCCCAAACAGCTCTGACTCATGTGAACCGTGCTTATGTTCAGCATGAAAAGCCTAATGAGAGCCTGGCACTGCTCAGCACCCAAAGGAAATGCTACTGCTGCACACCAACTTCACATTGCTTCAATCCTGTTTTGATTTACACGGATCTACACAAGTGACCCTCGGTCGTGGCTCCTTTTTTACTGTGGTGGGGTTATATAGGTACTGTCAGAGCTCCGTAATCTGACGTTCTCCAGCCTCACCATGCATGGACACCTCTCACGAGCACTTGGAGAGGGAAAGAAACCTGCAGATGAAACAGGCCTGCCTATGGGATGGGCACAAACCAATGCCAGAAACCAGACTGATGAGAATGAACCGAAACGGAGCACACAGAGCACAGACTGCATTCGTGTCAGGGAAAAGAGCAGGTTTCTAACAAAAATAGGGTTTGCTGGATCTTAACTGAGACAGCTGTGGAGGACCACCAGGTCTCATATCTGACTTCCAGCAGAGCTCAGAATCTGAACTTCAAAGAGAAAATAAAGCTCTCTTTGTTATGAACAGCCCGCGGCCTTGAGGGGAAAAGCCTCCTTAACCCCAGATATAGAATTAATTGCATTTATTTTACTTCTGCTGGCTACAAACGCCGGCTTTATTTTCAGAGTGCCATTCTCCAAATCTCTCTCCTCCAGAATTTATTACCTAAATCAGATAAAAAGCAAACAATTCCATGGGAGTGTGACAAAATGGAGCCTGAGGAGGAAGAAAATGCCAGAGATGGTCAAAATGGCACTCAGGCATTTCAGCCTTATTTCACCATCTGGGTCTATATCCAGCGAATCTCTTTCTCTGCAGATGCTTGCAGCAATTACATTTGTTCTATTTATTCTCCCTCAAAGGCTTGGAGATGAGTCAACAGAAAAATCTTCTAGGATGAAAAAACTGAAACTTGAATTATGCGATACCCCTGGACAATTTGTTCTGCAATCAGAACAGCATTCTCTTTCCTTACTGCTCTGGCTCCAATTAAAAAAAAAAACACAAAACCATAAGAAAACAGTAATACAGTACCAGTCACATCTGTAAATACAGCCCCTTTCCTTTCTGCTGGCAAGCTCAAGGAGTTATATCAAGACTACACCAAGATGTTCAGCTTCTAGAGTTCATTTCTGCTGAGAACATTCCCTTGCCAGAAATCCCCAAGAGCTGCTCCTCTCTGAAAGCCCTGACCCACTCAGTCACGCACATTATGTGGATTCAAAGGAAGGAATAACTCCACACACCTCTTTGAAGGACTTCTTTACTTCCACTAATGGATGCCAGTGTGCAATGGGCTTGCGTGGGTACGCCAGCATCTCGTTCCAGTGGTCTCTCCCCAGTCCTTCCGCGTTGACCCCCACACGGCAAACCCCAATTATCTCATTGTGTCCCACTCTGAAGAACAATAGAAAAGCAACACGGTTATTTCTTGCCCCAAGTGCCTGCACACAGTCAAACTCAGTCTTAGCATACTTGGTGTACTAGCAGGTAATTATCCATAACTGTTATCCATAATGGTTGTAAACTGAGACAGGGGAGGTTTAGGTTGGATATCAGGAGGAAGTTTTTCCACACACAGGGTGGTGAGGCACTGGCACAGGTTGCCCAAGGAGGCTGTGGATGCCCCATCCCTGCAGGCATTCAGGGCCAGACTGGATGTGGCTCTGGGCAGCCTGGGCTGCTGGTTGGCGACCTGCACACAGCAGGGGGTTGGAACTGATGGGCGTTGTGCTCCTTTGCAACCCAGGGCACTCTATGATTCTATGGTTCTATAACCATAAATATAAATGGCACTTCATAATACATCTCTAGAGACAGATTGATGCCGTGCAGCGGTGCTGTGATGGTAAGGCAATGACTACTAAGCAGAACAACTGTGCCCAATGGGATTTTCTCCTCTTTCCAGAGCCCTCCGCCTACCGATCATAATCCATGACAGAGATGAGCAGGCTGACTTGATCCATGTTCTCTGGGGGAATGTCGAAGATTATTGCTTCATTATAAGTAGGATTAAGTGTATTTTTCTTTATGGTAGTTTTCTTCTTTTTCAGTCTTCGACCATCACATAGCAAAGAGACTTTGACATATGGATCTAAGAGGTGAAGAGAGGAAAAGGCCTTCTGACTACAGAGCTTTATTTTCCTACCTTCACAATAGAGAAACAGCGTTTCCAAAGCATGAATGTAAGTTACTACGAGCTGAAGACACTCCTCAAATATATTTTTAGTAAAAAGGATGTCTTTGTACCAGTAGAATCAACAATTCCTCATATTGCTGTGAATGCTGAACCCCCACGCAGGGCGTGCTGGACCAGGTGCTCTTTGAAAGCCCTGTCCAACCCAAACCATTCTATAATTCTGTGAGGTTCAGGCACTGGAGGAGGAAAAATCTGCTTTTTCTATCTGTGATAAGGGCTCACAAGGGTAGGAAGGCCCTTGCCTCAACCCCAGAGCCAATATTCATCAGCTGACAACGCTGGGCTCTGAGCACTCGGGCATTAATTGCGTGGCCATGGAGAATGAATTCATTTTGCTTTCTCTGAAGCAAATCTGAAACTTGAATAAAAGTTGCCTAAGAGCAAAATGTAATGCAGAATTCTGAAGACCAAAACTAGTGGGGGGGGAGGTGATTTCTCAGACACCTTTTCCTGCACTGCTGCCAAATCTACCCGACTGCTTCCATTATGTTTCGCAGTTACAGTGAGCAGGGGAATCTGAGCGCCCATTTCTCCCAATACTAGAGAGCAGCAGAGAAAGAGAAGATTAGAACAGCTCTATCTCACTTGCCTTCTGTTGGCTGATTGTGGCAGAATGCACTTCAGTTACAAATGGCTCCTATTTCTGCTTTTGGCTGCTTGGACAATTTCAGTGCACTCTGAAGTAGCAATAAACCTGCAGCACTTACAGAAACATTGAGCTGGCTTCTCAATTCCGAGATGTTTCCAATCATCCAAGCCCCAACTAAGCAGAAATGTTTTCAGCAGAGATCTTTTACTGCACCGCTCCTGTATTTTACACAAGTCGTTGATGAAATTCAAATGCTATGATATTGATCTTTGGAATAGAAACTGCTTTTTGTGTTGAACTCCAGTCCACAGGCAGTCTCCTTGAACACTGTATTTGGACATAGAGTCATCTTTGCTGGACTCACGTCCTTGGGAATGTATTTCATATAATTCATTATATATTAAAGCACATAGAAAGCTTTCCAGTGATGACAGACAGCATCAGGAGACAGATCCCCACTGCGATATCTCACGGGAGGAGGAGGAAGCGTGGCTGCAGCACGGTGCCCTCAGCCTTCAGCACCCACCTGAGTAACCGGTGATGTCCATCGCTTTGAGATTCCTGCATTTAATGACTGTTAAGGTGAGGCGACCTGCAGTTGGCAAATAACAAAGGGAAAACATGATCTCTCCCAGGTCCACGCTTTCCTTCAATAAAACAGAGAACACATTGTATTGGAAACGTGCAAGATTCAGCCTGGCTGCCTCCCCCCTCCAATGCAGTGCTTTGTGCAGGATTCACGCAGCACTCACCAGAACAGGCTTTTCCCTATGCTGTCATTTTGCAGTGAATGAGTTTTTATGATATGATAAGGCCACAGAATTTAATTTTCAGTGCATTCCAATGTTGTTTGGCTAAAAATTGTTAGAGGAGTAGGAAAATGTGCGTGTCCAAATGTTGCAACTTCATATCACAGCTGTAGATTACCATCCACGTCTCAGTGGAGGTGCTTCCCAGCACTACACTGCAGTGAGTGCGCTCTTTCTTCTCCACTGCTCACACAAGAGTGATATCCAACACCAAATGAAGGCTATTAATGAAATTATATCAGTATCAAGTTTGTCTTGAATTTACAGAATGTATCTTGTTGTGCCATGTGCGACACCAACACCTGCTTCCTTACATGGAGGGCTGCAACACAAAGAGGGACAAAACAGAGCAAGTGCATGGAAACGTGAGACCTGGCCATTCAGCAGTGCTGCATTCCTCTCGTGGTGTGCAGTGTTAGAACTGCAACAATGGAATTTGCCCAAGGAGGCTGTGGATGCCCCATCCCTGCAGGCATTCAAGGCCAGGCTGGATGTGGCTCTGGGCAGCCTGGGCTGCTGGTTGGTGACCTGCACACAGCAGGGGTTGGAGCTGGATGAGCATTGAGGTCCTTTGCAACCCAGGCCATTCTGTGATTCTATGACTTCCTAGTAGCTTTCCTCTAAAGGTGAGCATGAATTTCTGGGTGGCTGCGTACCAGAGAGACACTGCTTCAGTTTGGAAGAGAATCACCAAAGACCTCATTCAGCTGCAACTTTTTGGGTGTCGACATGCTTACTGTAGCTCGGACCATCACCCATTCAGGTGTGCCTTCCCAGAGCTAAGAAACACAGCATCAGTTGTGTATGTCTGCACATAAATAGTGCATTAACCAGCAGATGGCACTCAGAAACATTTAGCACTTCAGAATTACATAGATCAATACAATTTGCTGTTTCAGTGCTCTGTAAAACAACTTCCAAAGACAGCTCCTCACACCTCCTGCACATATAGCATTCTCCTTTACACCTCTCAAAGCCCATTCTGTCATGGCCTTGCTCATGGGAATTCAGGAATAAGCACAAATAGACCAAAAATAAGATTATAAATAGGACTGGTATTAGTTGAACAGCCAGAACTTCACCTGAAGTCAGCAGAAAGATTTTCAGACACCTTCTGGAAATGAATTTTAAAGAAAGTCTTGCCTTTTACACAGGGATCTCACATCTGCAGAGCAAACCACTTGTTTATTTTTGGAAATGAAGAATTTGATTCGTTTCAGTGTTATATAATGATCCACTGAAAAGGAACTGTTCATAGAAGGGAGGTGGAACTGGAAGGACAAGTCAGCACATCAGGCACGCTGAGCTTCACTAAGAGGTGGGAGCTCTTGTAGATGGTACATGATTTTTGCCAAATTATTTCCTTCTCACTCTCTGGCAAGGCAGAAATTAAATACTCCCCTTAGACATGCAGGAAAGAAGTGAGTGGGGCATACAAGTTTTGATTCTTGTCAGAGGCTTCACTTGGCTTTCGAGTCAATGGAATGCTTTCTCAAGTGTAGAGTGTGCAATCAGCCAAATGTTTTCTGTACAGAGCAATGTGTGTACCTGTAAATAGCAAAACAGAAGTTGTTTGATGGCCACAGCTCACTGCTAAATGACTTTAATACTTATGCACTCAGAGTTCCCACTCTGATCCCTTGCTCACCTTAAAAAAATAAAAGAAAAAAAGAGCATCCTAAATAGCTTTCTTTTCCATGAGGCAAAATGATCTGAGTCACAGCCCTGTTGTCTGTGATCAGTATTGAAATATGAGAAAACAGTTACTGAGTTATTATTCCTCTACTTTTAATGCTTCTTGATGCGTCTACTGGGAACTGAATTTCTTGCTTCACAAAATATGAATAAAGGAACCTTATTAAGGTACCAGGATGATTTCCAGCTCACACTAAGGAGGTTCTCCCTGCCCACAGGCTGAGGCCGGCACTGATTGAAGCATAGAACAAAACCATGGAATCATTAAGCTTGGAAAAGACCTTCAAGGATCATCAAGTCCATCCACTGACCCAATACCACCATGATCACTAAAGGGTTTGGGGCCAGCCCAGGCAGGGGTGAGGTGATGCAATGCATCCATTCTTCTCTATGTTATTTGCTTTGCATTGGTTTGGCAGCAACTCTAAGGCATGACACGTGTCAGATGAGGTCCATGCTTTATTGTGAGAGCACCGTTTGGGCATCATGTAACCTTCTCCTCCATTCCTGGTACTGAGAGAAATCTGTTCAGAGTATAGAGCTAATACAAATTATTCTCTGAGCTCATTATATTAAGTCAAAAGATTTTTCTTTGCAGCCATAAATATGACAGAGTCAAGCTGATGTATCCACATCATTCTAGAAGATTATAGACACTGGAACATTTCCAAAACTCCTATCAACAGGTCTGAGGAAGTAATGGAAGCTCTGAATCAATAACCTTTGCAGAATTGAAACAAAAACGTTTTACTGATTCACAAACTGCACAGTCATTAATTAAATAGCTGCATGCTAGCTATTTGAATAGTTTATATCATTGCTTAAAAGTGCTCCTATCTTCTTACCCACAAGATTGAGCTAATGCATTATTAGTCACCCAAAGCTTTCCTTGGGTATTATAAAAGCCCTATTTACCTTTCTCATTTTTGATTAAACTGAAATGTCCTTGGGCACATTACAGCTGCCTGAGACGTACCGACGTTGGCATGTTCCCAAAGATTGGAGCCAAGAGAACGTGGGGATGGAGCCAAGAACAGCACTCGACGTCTCCGTGGGAGCCCAGCAAGGCTGCACCACGCTTCGTGGGTGTGATGTTGGCTCTGCTTCTCTCACACTTGGAGACTTTTCCCCCAGCAGCCCTCCTGGTGGTGTCTCTCCATTTGTTTTGGTAGAGTTTTCCCCAGCATACTGATTCTCTTGGTCAGCTAGGAAAGCATCTGCTATTTCTTACAGAGCCCACCCAGCAAAATACAGAACACACACAGGTCAAAAACTCCATAACCTTCTACTGGAGCTGCTTATTCTATGGTTCACATGCTGCTTCTCCAGTGAAACCGTATGTTTCCCCTTCCCTGTTTCACCCATGCCCGTGGATCTGCTCCCTCAGCACCCTCCATGCTTACTCCTTGCACATGGATCACACAGCAAAGGAAGGGAAGCTCCTTGTCACTACAGAGAAAGCATTTGCCCCCAGAACTCACACCACAACGTGACAGGCAGAACTGACAGAGCTGATGGTGACCTGAGCCATCCCAGGAGGAGCAGATGCCTCCATGTGGCATCCACAAGTGTGGTGCACCTTGCTCCTCTCCTAACAATCCCTTTACCAAGAGAATGAATGTGCCTGGTGTCTGCTAACCTCTTACCCAGCATTTCTGCATTCATTACCATCTACTAATGGCTATTTGTGGACTGAAGGTGAGGAGAGCAAGCACTGTATGCATGCAGGTAATTGATGCCCGTGCCTCCACCTCACTTGCTGGACAAAGCAAGATGCTCCAAAGGCAGCTCACAGCACAGTTCCAGCAAGCCTTGCAGTGCCTGGAAGATGGTGCCCATACCTTGGTGTGCTTGGGCAGACATGGCAATAAACCCATGATTTCAGACACAGGGCTGAGGACTTCCCATCTTCCAGTTTCACAAATAACGTGACAAGACAACTGATTTGGTGTCCAACTGCAAAGCAGAGCAATCATTTGTTCATCTTCAGGAAGAATCAAGTCTTCCCAGGAGGACAGTGGACAAGCAGATAGCTATTGTGTAGAGGTTAATGTCTTTGCTTCTGCACTGAGATCAGTGTGAGAAGGAGGTTTCTCCTGCCAGCTTCAGCCAGAGCCTGCAGCACTGAAAGCAGCTGGAACATTTCCATCCCTGATATTTGGTTTCCCTTTTAGAGAGAATTCAACAGAACTGCTGAAAGACTCACAACAACCACAGAAGTAGTTTCCAGTAACACACTGGAATAAAGCTCTCCATATAGTAAAGCCCAGTACAGCTCCTCCAAAGCTATTTCTGGCTGTTCATCACGTGCACATGGCAAACATCCAGAACCCAAGACCTTCCCCTGATGAACAGATGACAAACAGGGAATTTACCTAACTCCTCCATCTGGTTTTTAGCAAACCTGGTGTCAGTGAGACTCACTGCAGGTGAGATAAGAGCAAGCCACCAATGAGGGGATGAAATCCCAGCAAACCAGGACTCAGGTACAGCTGTCAGGCTTCTGCATAGAGCAGCCTTTTCCATCCCTGTACATGACTGCTGGAGGCTTCCCAGTGCTCCCAGCAATACACCCTCCTGCTCCCAGCTGCACAGGGCTCAGGTAAGCCAGAGAGGAAGGCCAACCCACCCCAGCACTGCCGGGCAGACACTCACCGTTGTCGCATACTGAATGTCCTTCCAGATGGAAGTCTCCCTGGAGAGATCCGAGTCCTCAAACAGGTTCTCCAAGATAACTTCTCCTATCATGTCGTGTCTGGAGAACCTGTCAAAGTCAAAGACGCTCAGGTGGAGCTTCCTGCTCACCAGCTCCTCGTGGGGCACAGGGAAATGGAAGGACTCGTCGAAGGTGGGGTTCAGGGTCTTCCTATGCACCCGTGTCTGGAACTTGCGCTTTCTGTCGGGCAGGAGGTAGATCTTCACATAGGGATCTGAGCTGCCACAGAAATCTTTGGCTGGCAAATCAAAAGCCCTGAGAATTCGGACAGTCAGCGTCTCGTTCTCATAGTCGTACTTGAGAGTGAAGTTAATTTTCCCACAGGTTTTTGCTGCTTCCTTTTTGGGGTCCTCGGAGTCAACAGATTTTTGCTTGTAGAGCTCAGGCTTAATGCGGCCGATGCTGGTCGGCTGCTCGGCGACGGGGGGTGGGTCCATGCCATAATCCATGCTGGATACGTGCATTTGTCGTGGAAGGTGTCTTTTGAAGGAGATGTGCCTGCAAATGGAAGAGAGGAGAGCTGCATTCTTGTCCAAGAACATTCCTCTCCTTTTTCTCCCACTGGAAGTGGGAAAGCAGGGAGAGCACAGCAATGAAGGCAATGTGTGCTTTTGACCTCTGCACAGAAACCACCTACACGACAAAGAAGGAGTGCTGAATAGCAACCTCAAAGGTCAAAGGAATCTATCTGGCTGAATGCTTTCATTGCATCTCCATCATGATACATTCTTTCCATCTATTACACAAGTGACAGCCCACAGTCAAATATACGAAACCCAACAACTCCTTAATCAAGACACACAAACCCAGTGTGGGAGTTCTTCTCCTTTACCGTTGGTTCTTACAATTCCCAGACACTGGCAGTAGGATTCCCCAGGGGTGGAAAAAATAGCAGAGCTTTTAAAGTAAGAGACATTGCCAGCTCAGAAAGTTCGGTTTTGTTCTGGGTATTGTTGCTTCCAAACTTCTCCAACAGAGAAATTTTCTCATTGAGAAATGATATATAATTCTTGACAGATAGAAAAGCACAGCCTCATCTGGAAGTTGTCCCTTGCCTTGAGCTCCCCTTCAGCACAAGTAAAATGTTACATAAGCAAAGCTTTATCTAAGCAAAGCATAAACTCTTTCTGCGGACTCGTGGCATTACTGCAGACTAACTGGTGTGTACAGAGCATGCATGGAGTTATTTAACCATCCCAGGAACTCGTACAGTTGGAGCATCAGCTCCAGGAACTCACTTTCCTTGGCAGCTTCCTCATGTGCATCCTCCTAGAGCTGAGAGCCACAGAACCAAGAAGCACGAGGGTGTCCCCAAGTCTGTCTGTAGCTCCTATTGCATGAGAAAGTGGCTTTGACACCTTCTCATCCACAGCCAAGTCCTGCTTCGTTTGCCTCAACTCAGACAGACTGACTTTTTGCCTTCTCTCTTATAAAGGCATGACAAAAGCAGGATGCGTGTGCATGACCATCAGCTGTGCAAAATCGAAGAGCATGCACACGAATTGCAGGTGGCACAGCGTTGGTTTTGACGCCAGCTTCCTGGAGCAGAAGGCTGAGCTCTGTGCCCTGCTCGCCCTGCAGCCAATTTTCTGAGCAAAGGCTGCTTTCACAATTGTTCTGTCTTACACATCACAGCCATGGCCAAGGCAAGCAGAAGTGCTGGGATGCAGCCAGGCCCTGCTCTCACTGCTTCCTGCCCTACTTTCACGGCCGTCTGTGTCAAGCAAGAAGTACCGTATTTCTCAGTGTTCTTGCAGAGGTGTCCCAAGGTTCATACAATCTTATTCCAAACTTAAGGAGCGTGGTGCTGGAACCTCCACCCCTGGCTGACAGATGCTCATTGATCACCAGCACTGAACACAGCCAGGGAGCAATACGTCGATTCTGCTGATCTAATTGTTGCTGCAATGAGCCGCATAAACAAGAGAGAGCAAAAAGGTCTAATTCTGTCTGACCGTATCCCATCATTGATACTCCAGCCTGCTGCATGTGTTGTAACAAAATTAAAGTGGCCAAAGCATACTGACAGCTAGACACAATGAGGGCAAGTCACGGTAATAAGGATTGAAGCCTTTAATTATTATTATTATTATTTTTTTTTTAAGAGCCCACCATCAGCCAGTCCTAATTGGTTAAGGGCCAGTCCTTAGCACTTAATCCAGCACCTCAGTGGGTGTGCTTTCCCCAAACCATCAGAACCTTGGGCTCCATTACAAGCTTCCCCCACCCAACGGGTTTCACTGGAGCTTAGTACCCTCAGCTCACCTGGTGGATGATGCAGGCTCTGTTGTTTGCCTCTGGATCCGCGTGCGCCGCAGGATGTGGTCCTTCATGGACATCTGCACCTCTGCAGGGATGTCTGGTGACGTGTGGCTGATTTTCACAGCTGCCTCCAGGAAGCTGATGGTGCCTGTGTCCTGGAGCTTGTCTGCCATGTTCTCCTTATTGTAGTCTGCCTCGCTCTGCAAGACGGCCAGGTTAGAAGAAAGGGCCTTGTTCCTCCAGGGAACCCAGCACAGCTTCCAAAAGAGAAACAGAAAAACTGCCACCAGGGCCAGTCCACACACAATAACTATCACTGCAAGGAGGCTGACGGAGAGCTCTACAGGGGGAGAGAAGGCAACAGTGACAGGGAGCGGGAGGAGTGGGAAAGGAGAAAAGAAAAGAGAGATGGTGAGAAAGCCATCAGCAAAGGGAAGAAGTGATCCAACCTGACTTATATCGTGCCTATTAGAGAGCTCTCAGCAGGTTCTGCACAGGAGAGCCAAACCCAAGTGAATCCCAAGATCACTGCCTTCTGCAAGCACATCTGTGGAGAAAAGGACACCTCCAGATAGGTAAAATTAATAAGTTTTATACTATGGCAGTGAGCTTGGCTACAAAACACCCCCTTGGCTTTCTTTTTGTGGCACTGACATACAACTGATCCTCAAATCAAGCAGAATTTTGGAACTGAATGAGAGAAAAGCAAGTTCCATTGGCATAATCCATTTCGCTTCTTAATGCAGGTTCTGTCACTGCATTAGGCAATCCTCATTAGACAATTAGACATCCTCAGTCTACCTGCCACGGTCCCAGAAGCAGATTGTTGTACTATTAATACTCGCTTCTTGCCCAGCTGCACCCAGAAGGAAAATAAGGAAATAAAGAAAATAATTTTTTAAAAAATCATAAGTTGCTGATGCAGTGAAATCAAATATAGAAGGAGACGGTATAGAAAACACTACACGTGTTTCCTTGCTCTGAACAGCACAGAAGCTGCGTATGCTCTCTGCTTTTCTGAGTCACTTCCAACTCACACTTTATGCATTTCAGCCCCTCGGTCTTTCCTGGAGTGAAAGATTTTCCCTACCTATGAGTGAAGAATTAGGGAAAAAAAAGAGTGTGTACATACATATGTGTGTGTGCTGAGAAATGATTCACAGCAATTCACAAGGAGAAAATATTAGCTACTTTAAATTCCTCTCTTAGAGTGTTTTCATCCCCAGGTTTCCACTCAAAACGTAATTCCAAGTGTTTGAAATGCACAAACATATCAGCCCCTGGAGATGAAGACAAGTTCCGTACTGAAATCATGCCCACAGTGTCAGGATTGGAGAAGATTCAGTTACAGACTGCTTTGAGATCAAGGAAAATTCCTTGCTTGCCTGCAGTGCCCAGCGATGCTGTACTCCTGATTTTGCTAAGTGTGAGTCAGGACAGGTAGGAAAGGGGAAAAAAGGATTTAATGCAAACATCCAAGCTCTCCCTTCCATGAGCTCTAAGAAATGCTTGAAAAAAAATGCATTTAAAGCCATCTCTCTCATCCTTATTGGGCAGTTTATAGCTCTCAGCACAGAACCTGGGAGACCACATCTGTGCATCACTGCACACAGTAACAGCCCTTCCTGACATCTGCTTTATCTTCATCAGAAGCCATGAGAGGACTCATATCAAGTGCAAATTCACAAAGAGCTTAAGGCAAAGCTTCTGAATGCCCCCAGGTTCTGTGCCTCGAAAGGAAGAGATGGAAGCTGCCAGCAGGTACAGATGGAAAGGATGAATGCTGTCCAGAAGTTCTGCAAGAGCTTCCTCTCTTTCCTTAACAGCCTCATGTGCAGCTCAGATTGCACCATTTATATTCTGATGGGGTTCCAGGATAGAAATACCTACCAGAATAAATAGGTCCTGTCTTACTCAACAAAACTTAGGATTGTACCAGTCAGCAGTGGAATTTCCACAGAGATTTGGCTAAATGAGTTCTCAGCACAGCAATGAGCACAAAGGTACCACTTTCCTTTATTTAGGGATAAGTCCTGGAGTTGTGCCCAGGTTGCTCAAACAGCCAAGAAGAAAACCTGAAGAATCCAGACTTATAGCAAAGGCTTCTGCCTTTCCTGTTCTGACTTCCTCCTCTGCATGCACATTTTTGAAATTCAGTCGTCTTCTCCAGTTCCACTCCTTCAAATCCCTGTAAGCTGCCCATGGGCAGAGCCTGGACCGAATCTCAGAGCATCCCAAGTGGGAAGGGATTCCCAGGGCTCAGTGCCTGAGATTTACTCGGTGAATACTCCAAGAGCCTCATAAAAGTATTCATACCAAAATCCAGCAGCCCAGCAGGAACGTTTTTAGGATCAAGCTGCTTTGCAGATTTAACTTCAGCAACTGCTTTGTCAGCAAGCAGCAACTGATATCATGAGCCCTCGCTTGGATATTCATCCTTTCCAGTTATTTAAATGTACTGTGTGAGCTGTTACAAAGGAAACAGTCGCAATGCAGAGTCTATCACTGCTGGAAGTGACAGAAAAGTTCACCTTAAGATACTTCTCCCCATTCCAAGGAGTTACGCAGCACCCATCAATCTGCCAACACCCCCCACCTCTTGACACGAAAACATCCCAAAGATGTTAACCCAAAAAAACCTGTTGCCAGTTTAAGATTGTAGTCCCCATCACCTCCTGCTGATCTGCTGTTCATAATGCATTTGACAGGATCCATGGATATTTTTATGCATGACCTCCCACTCTTGCCTCTGACAGCTCACATAAAACACAAGTGGAAGGGATCGAGATTTTACAGACATTCTTTAAGCAATTGCCTGGGAGGGATATTGGTTTATCTGAAGATGGCATTAAATCCCCCAAGACTTATCCCTGACCTATTAGACTTTCGTATCAGTTGGATGGAGTTGACCTTAATTGATTTAATGAGCTTTCTCCAGTGGATCTGAAAATATCAGTTACTTTAATAAATGCCTGGTATTGAAAATATTATGCCTTAAATGGCCTCTAACTTACAGCAAGCTTCACCAAAATCTTTTCCACATCAGGATAACTGGAAAAGGCTCCTTTCAGATGGGAGTGAGTTTTCCTTTAATTGTGCCACAGATTCCCCAGAGTAGTTCAATGCTGAGTTTAATAACGTGATTAGAAGAGGCTGTTACCAAAGAGCATACCTCATTTGTGTTAAATGGCATTAAGTATACGGAGAAATAGAGTTTTCTGAAACAGAAAGCCATTTGCTGGCAGGACTTACACAGGCATATCCACAGGAATGCCCACACTACTCATTATCTTTGCTCTGCTTTCCTTTAGTGACCAGGGGGAATGATTTCTGTTACAGGAGAATGCCAGCAGTACCTGGGTGGCCAATGCTAAGCCATCATTGATCACCACTTACGCAATGAGAGGTACCATTAAACATGAAATCTGAGTCAACTGAGGCTCCAGCCTCCCACACCTGCAGCCTAGCATGAGAAAATAACGAACTGAAGTCTTCAGAGATGGCACAGAGCAGCTTAGGCCAAAATGCTGCAAAAACAACGCTGCTCTTCTGCTTCTGTGCATCTTGATACCGAGTCTTAGAGCAAAGTCCATAGGATGACTCCAAACTACAAAGCTTCAGGGAAGGTCACAGCTTTCTTCTGCACTCCTCCTGCCTTTCGAACAAAGGATGAGACAGCCCAGGGCAGAATGAAAGGACAGCACAGTAATTTAAAACTTTGAAGCTAAAAGCAAACTTAAGAAAGGGAAATCCTTTCTTGGTTATCCAAGCTCCTTTCCTTGCACTCCAAAGGCATCTCATTAGCAAAAGCAACCCTTTTGTTTCATCTTGGATGGAACTAATTAAGAGAACATCATGGAACCTCGACTCCACTTTATAGCTCAGATGACTTCACAGTACCCTGGCTGAGTTACCAAAGGGGATAATTAGCAATGTCCAAACAGAAAATGATTAATAATGTGACAAAGCTGTGATGAAAACAGACTATTAACTGCAAGACAATGCGTGGCTTCTTATGGCAACGCTGACTGTTAATACTCAGAAGAAGCTGCACTGATATTAAAGAGATGCACAAGTAACTGCATTTCATGAGAAGAGCTGCATTTAATATCTTAGAAGATGCAATTCAGCTTTTCTTCCATCCACTCCCCATCGAGAAAACAAAACATGTGGGACAGCTCTCACATCCCAGCAATCATAGCCATTTCAGCAGCTGTTGGGATTGAACAAAGTTTGAGCACCGCAGGTGAAAGCTTAAGGGTCCAACAGCCACCTTTCCTGTGCACATTTCTGACCGTTAAGCTTCCCAGAGGCCAATGGAAAAACCTTTGAATCGGGGAAAGCTCTCCCTGGTTTATTTCCCACCAAAAAAACAAACATCACTCAGGATCTCCCTTCTTGCCACAGCAGATGCTGCCCGGAAAAGCAGTCATGGGAGCACAGGGAAGATGAGGATGTTGGTGTTGTACCTTCACTTTGTTTCTGCTATCTGCACACTGGTTTTCCAGAATCATGTTTTGGCCATTGCTCACACCATGTCAGCAGGTGTTTCCTGGCTTCTCCACCCATTTTTTGCCACAATTTTCTATTGCAAAGGGCTCGTGAGAATGAGAATATATCTTTCTATTTCTATGCTTTGTAGAAATCACACATCCAAATGCTGGATTAGTGTGAGAGTTATTGCTGGAAGAGAAGGCAAGGAGCTCTGGGGCTACAACAGAGCACGAGGCACTCACCAATTGCTAATCTAATTTATGGGTCATTGAGAAGCACAAGCAATGTAAATCTGATGGGCTGAGGCTTGAAATTGGACATGAGAAACTGTGATGAGCCTCAGCTACCTGGCCTGGGGAGCTGGAGAGGAAGCACATGACAACAGCAGGGGAAAAGGAAGAAGTTTCCATTCAATCCTGGCTATGAACACGTTTATTCAGCAACGCTGTTCAGCTTTGAAGCGTTACAGAGCTCCAAAGGAGCAGGGAACGGAACAGAAACGAAATGCTGGGGCAGTGCAGATGCACAGCATCCAGCAGCAGCACAGCTAGAGACAAAATAGGAACTGCAACAGAGCAAAGGAACAGCCCCTTTGGGACCAGCGCTCACAACAAAACACAGAAGGCACCAAGGAGCAAAGCAGCAAGCAGAGCACTTTGCAACAGGAATTCTGAGATGGAAACAGGCTGCCTTATGAATTGTAAAATGCTGAGTTTGATGAGAGAGGCAATCCGCAGTGCAGTGCTGCTCTCAGCCAGCTCCTTCTTCCCTTCTCAAGCATGCCACAGGCATGGGAATCTTGACAGAACAAACAGAGAACACACCATCCCTGGCACCCAGCAGCAG